TAGTACTTGGAAGAACTACTTTTGAATGGCTGTATCATATGCTCTCATCGGTTACTTAGTAGTGAGTCAGCCATAGGTGGTGTCCTGCACCCTACTGGAACATCATACAAACCCAGTGTTTCAACACATGCCTATTATTATCTTTACTGAATTGCTCATGTGGTAAAAAAATGGACACAGCTGCAGAGGAAGATATATGAAACAGTAGCTCGGTGTAGCTTAAAATCCTATACCAGAAAAAAAAGCATATGGATTCATGCTTCTATGAGTAATAATAATGTGCTGTAACCTGTCTTACATTAGAAACCTCACATTATGAGAGTTACTTGTGGGTTTAACAATGACTGTAGAGATAAACAGTATGTGAATAATAATGTATAAGATAGTGCTTAATAATTTGCTATAAAATCCAGAAGTCTTGGGCAGTACAACAGATCTGGCATTTCCAATTCTTTATTTTATAACCGAGAAGATGATACAGTATTTTTTTGCTGCAGTTTTACTACCTGGTATCTGCCTTGAATGCTTTTGACAGGAAAGGGGAAGAAAGACATTTGGGTATAAAATGACAAGTGCAGAACTGCCACAGATGGATAAGCATTTTTTTGGGTTGTTGTTGGCTTGTTTTGCCATCTATTGCATTTTAGTGGCAATTTTGAGACATTACTTTGTAGTTATTTAAACCTAAGAGCATCCATACAAGTCAAGCCAAAGATCCATGCCACCCTGTATCATGTTTGCACAAGTGGTAACCTGCTCAACTGTAGTGAAGGATGAAGAATAAGTTTTTAGTGATGCACCCCTGGAATACTTATCTAGTCTTCTAAAACTTGTTCTTACAAAGTTCCTGGGTGATTAGCAGTGTTATTACAATTAAAACTCTGTAAGGATTTCACCTCCATAACTTGCCCACTTCCCAGTAGAGTTAACTTGCCCAAGAGCATTGTATCTGCACACACAATGAGTAGAAATTCCATGGCAATAGCTTACTTGGGTTAAGAACCAACTCCTCTTGCTTGTATGAAAGCAACTTATTATTAACTTATTTCGTACCTCACACACTGCTTATGAAATAGGGACACTTCTTAACTTATTTCGTACCTCACACACTGCACTAGACACTGAACAATAAGTACCCATTTATTAGTTCCTCACAACCTTATAGACCTATATTGTCCCCCAGTGCCTCTTTTGTAGATGAAGACTTCTTTAAACAAAAGCTATTCCATAACACTGTTCATCCTTGTCCTCCTCAGGATGAGAAAGTACATGCTGTATTCAAGAAAGCAGCTGATATGGATATATACAATGCTTTAATCAAAAACCTTCTGCGTTTTATTCCTTTCCAAACAGTTCCAAACATTGTTTACTTCTTAGCTTCTGCCACACAAAAGTTGATACATTGGTTGAAATTTCTGTTACTACTCAGTACTACTACTATCTCGTTGCAAAGCAGTAATGGTGAAGCCACTGACCATTATGTGTGAAATAAGGATTGTGCTTGGCAAGCACAATTTAAACATACTCTTTTCTCAAATCATTCCTGATAGGTGATGAACATTTACTCTAATATGAATCTAGTAGAGTAAATAGTTTTTAACTTTTATGGTTCTGAATACCACAGTTGCCCCTTTACTCCTTTTCTTTACTCATCTCTTAATCTTTTGCTAGGAAGTGGGAGAGTTAGTGTTATTACTACTTCAGGGACATTAAAAGACTTACAATACCTACTGGAGAGCAGCTATTGGACTAGCACATTTTAAGGCCTCAAATCTATATGTGGGGGATACTTTTAGAAGCTACAAAATTACTCTTCTGATTTTAATGTGAGTTTTCTTTGACATAGAGCACTTCACATAACCTCCCTTTTCTTTCCTCTGTACATTCTGTTCTATTATGAAAAAGTCCATTTCTAACATTAAAATGGCCTTTCCACCCAAATTTCTGTTGCGGTTACAAGGTCAATATTCTTAGTTATGACTAGCTGTCTCCAGTTTTTGTTAGACTCAGTATTCTAGTCCATCTTCTGACCTCAGTTATATTATTGAAATCCAAATTGGTGTCAGCAGGAGTATTGATGTTAATATTTATACAGGAGTTTTTTCATAGAACCTGGATTTTCTCTTCCACATAAGTGAATGATCTCCTGTTGAATTATAGGTCTATAACTTTGTAAAGCTTATCTTCTGGCTTGGTTCCTATACATACTCTTCTCAGTTTTCAGCAGTCTCATGGAGACTTTGCTACACATTTGATATTGATGACATTTGGAAAGGCAAAAAAAAGTCAAAGTTATTCAGTTCTGTAGTTGAGTAATCTGTATTGTAAAATCTTAAGGCAGATGGATTAAAAAAGACTCAGACCACCATTACATGCACCTAAGGCTTTTAGATTATAATAAGCCCTTGATTTAAAGTCTAGGTGTTCTTTGTGAAGCTGAAGCTGGGATACCAACATTTGTAGCACTTTCTTTCTCATGCATTTTTATCTCTACTTCCTTTTTCTATTTTGCCAGTTAGATAAATCTAAATCACCTTTGTCCTGACCATATTAACTGCTGATTTTATAGAAATAATTTTTTTTCAGGGTTTTGTCTGTGTTTTTGTAATAGAGTAGGTAGAAAAGGGAAAATTGCCTATGAATTGCTAGACATGAAGATTACTCTCATTGATTTTTCTTTGCTGAAGACAAGGATTTTTTACAGAAAAATATATAGAATGCTCTTATACTTCCATACAGGAATAAACAGTGGGTGATTGGGAATTTTACTACTTGAGTGATAGGCCCATTCTTCATTTTCTGAAAATCATCTGGAATATTTCTGAGGAAGCCACTCAGTTGTACTTAGAACAGATATATCAACCAGATGAACTGCATCTTCTGCTCACAAACTGCTATGTGCCCATTTTTTTTCTACTTACTGTTATTTTGTTTTGCTAGTGTGACATGGGATGTCTTTAATTCTCATAGCTCTTTTCTCCTTAGAATGAGTGTACCAAAGATGTAAAATACTGTGGGACATATCACCTCCACAATACAAAAATATGGATTAAGGTTTTCAATAGGAAACCTAGTAATGTTGATCCTAATTACAAAAAGATTTTTTCTTTTTCATGAATCTCACATGTATATGAACACAATTTTGCAGTTTTCTAATTCAAGTTTTTAGTCTAGAACAAACTGCATGCAGTAAAGTATATGACATCCTGAGGTAGAAAATAGTGATTCATTCTAGAACAAACTGCATGCAGTGAAGTGTGTGACATCCTGAGGTAGAAAATAGTGATTCCTATTAATGTTGTCGCTATGATCATGTATACAACTGGAGAGAAATAGAATTGACCTAAATCTGCTATTTCTGGAACCAATTAAAGATTCCCACTATGATCATATATACAACTGGAGAGAAATAAAATTGACCTAAATCTACTATTTCTGGAACCAATTAAAGATTCCCATTGAACTGTATTACAAAGTTATTTCCAGACTGAAAAAGTATTATAAGCTAACGATTCCTATTCTTACTTTTTTAACACAGCAGTGGTTAGTTGCTATAAAGATAAGAATGATCCTTAGAGTTAGTTTCTTGTCATTCCAGACCCATTATAACACCAGGGAAAAAAACTCTGCTTTTAATCTCAAGTGGTTTAATACTAGAAAATAATACTTTCTAAACCAATAATAACTTATGGAAGAATCATACTCCTTATATTATACTGCTTATTTTTCAATTGTGCATGCTATCTGCACCAATGTGCACCTACCCATTTTCTGAAATCTATTGCTGAATATATAGCATTATGCAATGCTATACACACTTCTAAAATTTTTACAAAGAAATGCATTTTCTACTACACATTCTATTTCAAGAAAAAGGCTCGAGTGCCCCCAAACCTTACAGATTTATACAATTTCATCAGCTAATTTGCTTGATCGGTAGTGCCTCTCTCTTTCTGTCTTCCTTTATCCTATACATTCTTAACATAAGGGAGATTATGGCATATGTACTGAGATATCAGCCATCCAAAATCACTGAAGATTAGGAGTTATCATGGTAATGTCTTACCAGGATATTGTAATTATTTTTTTTAGGAAATACCTCAACTTTTCACTGCCTCTTTGTGCTATATCAAGAGAACTTTCCCAAGCAAAGGAAGAGTCTTCTAATGAAGACCTCCTTTCATATGAAGGAATATTGTCTTGGCCTACACTACCTTAAATGTGTTGGCAAATGACTGGTTGGAAACAGTTGAAGATGCAGGCTCTGAAATGCAATGCTACCTCTTCTGTACTCTTTGTGCTAAGAAAACTTTACCAAGCAAAGGAAGAGTCTTCTAATGAAGACCTCCTTTCATATGAAGGAATATTGTCTTGGCCTACACTACCTTAAATGTGTTGGCAAATGACTGGTTGGAAACAGTTGAAGATGCAGGCTCTGAAATGCAATGCTACCTCTTCTGTACTTACTTACACTACTGCCTTACTCTGTACAAGACAGAGTTAAGAAAACTTTACCAAGCAAAGGAAGAGTCTTCTAATGAAGACCTCCTTTCATATGAAGGAATATTGTCTTGGCCTACACTACCTTAAATGTGTTGGCAAATGACTGGTTGGAAACAGTTGAAGATGCAGGCTCTGAAATGCAATGCTACCTCTTCTGTACTTACTTACACTACTGCCTTACTCTGTACAAGACAGAGTTCTTCAGCCCTGATGTGGTAAAGCTATGATCACACAAATCACATCCCTAGTGAAAATGCACCATTCTCTTTCAGCCACTCATGTTCTGATTGAAAAAACAAGACAGTAATTTTGAGTGGTTGAATAGCTGACAAACACACTTTTGAAAAGCCTGAGTGATTTGCATGTTTTTGTGTGAACTGTCTTATCGACCCTTTCAGAAGAATTCTAATCCTGGTCCAAGAGATCCAGCATTAAATTGTAAGAGTAGATAATCACAGCCCTTTGTTTACTTATTCCTTCTTTTTATCATCTCCTAGGTGTAATAAGAACAGCTTTGCCAAATATGGACAGAGAAGTGAAAGAACAATATCAAGTTCTAATCCAAGCCAAGGACATGGGAGGACAGCTGGGAGGACTAGCTGGTACTACCACTGTAAACATTACTCTCACGGATGTCAACGACAACCCACCCAGATTTCCTAAGAGTATGTAGTATTTCAAAGCACTAATTTTCAAACAAGCATGACTCAAGGTATTAATTTGAAAAATCCTTTAGATAATGAACTGAGATCCTGAAAAAAGAACAGTGTATGATGACAAAAAATATACTGTTGCCTTTCTAAAATAATACAAAGCTCAGTTTGAAAGTGTGAGTTGAATGTCTAAGAGGAAATATATCATCATTCCACAGGATCAGCCTGAGCCTGAGTTCATTTCATTTACACTATAAAAATTATTTGGGAAATGCTATTTTGTCAAGGAAAACTGGATGAACTCCATCAAATGACAAAAGGTTATAACCTGAGCCTTGCAGGTACCAAAGACAGAGCTAGCTCATGCTAAGCATTGTTGTTATGATATTCAGAAACAGATTTTTATGTGTCTTGGCCCAGAAGATTGAACACACAGCCTCAAAATAGTGATCATCCACTGATAATTTATTATGCTTCACATCAATTAGTTTAAATGAAGCTTTTCAGATGTATGCTAATATAAAGAGTTTTGTAGTCCGTGTATGAGTATGAGGATTGCCATTCACTTCTCCTAATAAATTTACTGAAGTTGTGTGTATTCCATACCTTTGAAATTCAGAAAGTCAACAAGCATAAACCTTGATAACTATATCAAAATAATTAGCTGCTAAAAGTCGTTAGTAAGAAAATTTATATTAGAGTATTTGTATGAGTCTGCAGTAAGGTCATGGCAGGTTTTTACTTTGTATCTCTTTTCTTGCACATGAATTGTAATCCCACTATATATATTATAAATGCTCCATAGGGACAAAGCCACATCTGAAACTGTGAAGTTTTCTCTCATATAAAAATTACTCTTCTGCTTTTCCTCAGTCTGAAAATGTATGGTGTTTCTGCGGGCATGTAAAAATGACCATGTTAAGAGAAGGATCCATCTGGTCCTTCTGTCTTCTACACTCACGTCTAGAGTGTATGCATAAGAACCAGCCAAGCAATACTCTATAGCCATTCCTCAGTTTCCAGTTATTTTTAGTCCTGATGGTGTCTTTGCATTTAACAAACCTCAATGTATTTTTCTCACAGCAAGTTGCTCTGTTGCCTTGAAACTTATGTAAAATTTTGAAGTCCACATCTTATGTCTGTGAGGTACAGAGATTAATCATATATCGCTCAACAAACAGCTTCCCCTCATTTGTCTTGAATCCATCCTTACATACCTGCATGTTGACCTCTTCAAAGAATTCAGAAGGCATTGCAAAATGTGAGATTTATTTAGAAAAGTTGTGTTGATTTCTTTTTTTTTTTTTTCAGTATGGGATATTCTCTCTGTGTCCATTAATCCTGCTCCTTCTGTTTTGCCTTTGCATATCAGTCATATTCACCCTTAGCTCCTCCAGACTCCCTGGAAATCTTTTGGGAAAAAAAAAATCAGTGTTATATTAGTACCTCCAAGCCTTCTTGTGCCACAGTGGTTTGAAGCAAAATATTGCACATCATAATAGTTCACTTATTTCATCCTTCAGGCTCTTGGCACTGTAGCAGCTAATCCCAATGATTTGTTATTGTTGTGTCCATTTGTTCCACAACTGCTTCTATAGCTAATTTAACCTTCTCATGAGTCCCCCATAAAAAATGGTTCCAGGATAGAAAAACTCCTGTTATTCTATGCTAAAAGCAAAGAAAAAAAAGTACTAAGTTTACATCTGTGATCCTATCTTCTCTGATCACTTGTTCTATATCTCAATTTTTGATTGACGTCACACAGTTTCTCTCAGGCTTTTATTTCCAGATGTCTTAAAAGACAATTATTATTAGCTTGTTTGCAGAGATTTATCCAAACTCGTTTTTTTTCTTTATTATTGTTTTATAGATAAAGCAGATTTTATGGTTCTTTGTATTGTACTCCCTGAGACACAACTTCATTTTTTTGAAAGATGTGTTCTTGCTTTTATTAGCTATGTTGTTTACCCTTACAGATTTGCTTTTTAATGGATGTGTGCATTTGCTGTGGGTCTTCAAAATGGTATCCCTAGGTAGCATCCACACCACCCACAGTGATTTAACAGCTTCAGTTATCCCATTCAGATTTTCTATAGCAATATCCCTCAGTTTTATTTATTTCCACTTTTTTATTATTATTATCATTATATTTTATTTAACTGATTGCAACCATCTTGTAATTTTGGCTTTTATTGCTTCAGCACAGATATTGCATTTAAACTAATTATGGTTGCTGTAAAATTTAGAAGAACGAGAGAACTTTTCCTGGCTAGCTAATGTTAATACTGTTCTCTTCTTTAAGTCTTACTTGACAGAGCTTCTTTTAACATCATTGTTCCTCCACTGATAAGGTCTTCTGTGCCTTTTACTCCTTGATACTCTTCTGCCTGACTGATTTTCTTTTTTCCAACAGATATTGAACATGCTTATTATGCTTATATTCTTGTTTAGCATTAGGCATTAAAGCTACCTATATTAGTTCCCATTTTAACCCTTGTCTTTATACGGTAGCTTTCTTTCTCCTCTTTTCTGGTCCCTAGTTTGATTCTGTGTGGCCTGCAATTTCCAAATTTCCTACTGGACTACTATCACCTTTCATAGCATTCTCCAGTGAAGAATGCAGAATTCTGGTCACTGCACCCTTTATCTGAACCATGTGCATTTTTTTGAATTGTGTGGATTCTAACACTTGCAAATTCTACTGAATTTTTCAGCTAAATATCACAATGGTCTTAAAAAGTTTTCAAACTTTCTGAAGCTTGTTATTCTTATGACCAACATGAATTTTTCATCTTTTCTGTGGGCACCACTTCTTCAGCACGTGTCTCTACTTTCCAGTACTGTGAATCCCTTCTCCTTACCACTTTTTCTCTGCCAGCCATTTGAAGCTTTTTGTCTTCCTCTCCTGTACATGGTGAGACAATTTCAGGCTGTGATTCTATGAACGCCCTTCAGCTTTCACTTGTCAGCCTTAGTTTCAATTGTAAGACCTCTGTCCAATCTTTATTTTGTCAGAGCTCACATGGTGCCTCTTTTTGTTTCACTATATGCTGTCAAAACACTTGTGACATGCTCCAAATCTGATCAACAAGGAGATCATCCCAGGTGACCCTTTTGTACCGACATTCCCTCTGTCCTCATCCTCAGTGCTTGTTAAACTGCTCACCACTGCAGTCTGCTCCTTCCTTTCAGCTGGAACCCCTGCTACTGGAAGGGTACAACAAGTGCAAGAGGAAGTAATGTAACTGTCTGGAGACCAAAAAATCTCAGTACATTGGCAAGATACTTGGGCCCAGTGCTCTTTCCCATTCTGGCTTTCAGTTGTATATTTTATTTTATTTGCTGTTAGGGGGCCTTAGTAATTTTCTATTTTATTGCCTTCATCTACTATGGTGTTGCAAAAATATGCAAGCTTCACAAGTCAGACAGTTTTCGTGACATGGAGAAATCATGGAATATATCATCCACTTTGAAGAAGATAGCCTTAAGGTCTCATTTAATGCATGAACTGCAGTAATGACATCTTTGCCCAATTGTTGCTATGAAGGAGCAAAAAAAAACACACAAGGGACAAAGCTTGTCCTGTGCTTTTCATACTAATAAGGTTGAAAACCTTTTCTTTCTATTGTATCAGATGTCACAAAAGATGAATTACACCAGTGACTCTCAACAAAGCAGAAGAGAATAATATTGGAGGTTCATGTTTATATTGAAAATAACAAATACTTAACATGGATTACAAGCTAAAATGTCAGTGTGGAGACTCCAGCGTATTAGAACAAGCTTAGTCAAGACTTTTTGTTCTCTAGATGAGTAACAGGCAACAATCCTGATCAATGAGGATTTACTTAGCCAGTCTCGTTTGGTTAAGCAATAGGTGAGATTATGTGTATTGTGCATGAAATTTACAGAGGCAAAAGGCTAATTACAGCTAAACAAAAAGAACTGACAGAGCAAAAGTGAAGTATAAATTTTATTTCTAATGTATCAACTATATTTTTCAGTATTGCTCCTTGAAAATGTTGCAATGATTCAGAATAACTACCTGCCATGAAATGGAGTTTGTCATTTGCTTGGCTATCATAGCTAAAAGGATACTTGTGCAGAATTTTAGTTTATGTGAAAAACAAGCCTTTAAAATCTGTCTGCATAGGTGCCAAGTTCAGGCTTGGCAAGACCTGATGATCCCTCAGTGTTGCTGGGAGTTGAGACCTCCACTATCCCATTACTCATCATTGGTCAACAAAGCCAGGAGGTGCAGAGTGAAAAAAAGGACTGAAGATCCTTTAACAAAAACTACTCCAGGGTAAATATTTTTACATCGCACAATCAGGACCTCAGTTTTCCAAAAGACTTATACCAAAGAAGCCAAGCTATAGATTACCTTATCAAATAAGACAATATTAAATTTCACAGGAAAAAAAGTTTAATTTTATTTTCTGAACTCAGTTAAGCTGAAAAAAGTTTTCACAGCAGAAGTAGGAGAACATATATTATTAATACTTGGAAGAAGCTACATTGATAAATAATACATTACAGGCTTGCAAAAAAAATGTATCACAGAACACCTTCATCTCATCAAGGGTCCTTTAAGGAGACCGTCAGGTTTGGGTAGGTTATCAGCATCCAGTGATGAAAAACCACTGACTATCCTGCGAAAAAAGTTTTCACAGCAGAAGTAGGAGAACATATATTATTAATACTTGGAAGAAGCTACATTGATAAATAATACATTACAGGCTTGCAAAAAAAATGTATCACAGAACACCTTCATCTCATCAAGGGTCCTTTAAGGAGACCGTCAGGTTTGGGTAGGTTATCAGCATCCAGTGATGAAAAACCACTGACTATCCTGCCCTGCTGAACTTTTGAACATATTCAGCAGGGAACTCCCACCTTGCATGTCTCATAATGAGGAGTGTAACAAAGGGGAAAGCTCTAAACATTATATATTTCTGTCAGAGATGTTTGACCTGCAGGTATCTATTGGCCCACATTTCAGAAAACTGAGA